ATTGCGATGTCCTAGGAAGTGTCATTGTCCCCCGTTGCATCCCTTTGGCGCTAGTTCCGAACCAGTTCTAAATTCGACAGATAAGATCTAATTCGATCTGCATCCATTTTTTATAGTTCCCAACCTGTTATAAATTCGTCACATTTCTAATCAGGCTTGTCGAAACATTTGCCTTTTATATTAAATATGATCGGTTGAAGGAAGGACAATACCATCACAGATGTTTAAACGCATTTATTAAAAATTTATATTAAAAGTAAAAATATTAGTTCACTTTGTCTTACTTGTCTAAATTTAAGCATATTGTTTTTTAAGTAAATAAGATATACAGGCAGTCAATAAAGTTTAGGTAAATCGAAGTTTTTACAATACCGGCAACTATTGTTTAAATATTTAATTTTTCCCAAATTTTTTATAAAAATATGGTTAGTTCTACACCAAAAACCCCAAAAGTCAGAGTTCTAAACCTTATGCAAAATTAAAGAAAACTCCGCAAATTTCCATCCAAATATTGCAATTTACACTCTTTAGAAAAAAGTTAAGTACGCAGTTTTTTAGCCCATTCAATTTTAGTATAACAAAGTGCAAGTTTAAGGCAGCTAGGACTTACCATTGATATTTAGCAATTTTTTGTTGTTGTTTGGTAAGTCCTGCTTCCTCATACTTGCACTTCATTATACTAAAATTGAATGGGCTAAAAAACTGCAAACTCAACTTTTTCTAGAGAGCGCAAATAGAAAGTGAATTATTTTAATGAAATTTTGCAGAATTTTCTTAAATTTTGCACAAGGTTTGGAACTCTGATTTTTGGGGATTTTATAAAAAATTGCCGAAAACTAAAATATTTAAAAAATAGTTGCCCGTATTGTAAAAAATTCGTTGTACCTAAACTCAGTCAGTCATATTAAGGTAGCTGTGCTGGATTGCATAAAACAAAAATTAATTTGTCTATTCTTAAAAAAAGGTAGCTCTGGTGGCTTGCATTTTTAAATAAATTTAGTGAGAAAGTGGTAATTATTTTGACACTTTCTTTTAACCTCTTTTCTGCAACTGCATTGCCTTTCTCAATTGTCCTTCAGGATCTTGGCCTTTGTTTATGGAATCACTAAGTATAATGATTATTAAGCAACTCAAAAACTATACCAGCGTGATTACCGACGTATCCTTTTAAGAGGTAGCCGCACTCTTATAAGCGTAATAAGACCCAAACTTTTCAGGTCAAAATTTCAGTAGGTTGCGTCTGTATGGCCTTTTCAATTTTATAAATTATCATTATTTTTAAGTGGAAAAATAAAACTCAAAATTCATGATAATCTCTGCGCGAAAAAATAAAAATCATAAAATAATTATTATTTGTAATGCCAAAAATAAAAATCAAATAATAATTATTTCCGTTTGAGCGAAAAAATAAAACAATAATAATTCATAAAATAATGATTAAATGCTGCTTTAAATGATTTTACTCATAATGATTACCTTCCCTGCTTTTAAAATTTGAAATAAAATAGTTTAGTGAAAGTACCACATTTCACTGCTTTTGGACTGGTTCGGGACTATTTACTATCGGACTGGTTCGTTTTTGGCGAAAAAGAACTAGTACTGAACCAGAAATTTGGTTCACTAGTTCGTGTTTTCCCTACAGGGTTATTACTTTTTTTTCAAATGGAATTACAAATACACGGTTACGTGCTGGGTGATCTTGTTAGTTGGTTCATGTCTGGACTTCGTCCGTCAATTCGTATAGATGCCTTCTGACTTGCCGTGGCGAGGGTTTCTCTGTAAGCAAGTGTCTGTTCGGCAGAGTCCGACCGATTAAACGGCATCGCATCGGCTAGTATCGGCACAAAATTGACCATCGACATCGGCATCGGCATCGGCCTTTTTTCGCCGATTATTTGCCGATTCTTTGGAATTTCTTTTCAAATGTTCAGGTGAAGCGACAGCCAACATTAAAAACATTTGCAGACAGCTTTCAAAAATGATTTTTTTTTTTGTTGAAGGTGTTTCACGTTTTTTCCATACAAAAGTATGTGCGACAATTTTCTTTTATATGGAGAACACTGCCAGCAAAAAAAAATTGCCAAAAATTAACGGTAACGGCTCAGGACTGGTGGCCTTTCACTGGGTACCCCGTGGTTGTCAAGCCCGTAGTTCCACTTACGCGGAACCCCCTGGGGGGAAGACCAAGCCAGCATAGCCGCTATATTTTATTTCGCCGCACTATGTCTATATGGTTGTAAAGCTCATACAGCTCAACGTTCCATCGTTTACGGTATTCGCTACCCCTCCAAGCTTGCAGAATGTACATAACTCGGGCTGATGGTGGTTTTGTCGACACTTTCAAGCCAGGAAACCATAGGCTCCTTTAGTATCTGCAGCACCGATAAGGTGTAATGCCGTCTTGGCCTGGAGATTTGTATAAAGAAAAATATTCCTTGCGAATTATATTTTTTCTTTATCCCGATCGGGTCCTTGGAGGATTGCAGTAGACCTGTTTGGTCCATATCACTGGCCTCTGACCGCAGCCAGGAAAGTGAGTATTGATAAGAGTTTCTACATAGTGATTATTCAGGCCATTATCTCCTCTAAAGATACTTGAATTGGTGTTCGCTCAGTCTTGCGGTATCTCTACAGTGTTTTTTTTATAAGTAGATGAGCAATAGGATCGTTAAGATTCAGCCTTGGCATTCCATACCGATTTTCGAGTTTTTGAAAAGGCTTTATTTCTTAACTATTTGTAGGAGGCTTGCCACCTGTTTAAAAAATTCTATCCAAATTTGAGATTTTTTGAGGGTTAAGAAGGTTTTAGTTAGAAATTTTTTGTAAAGGGTTGCCATCTGTTTAAAAAGTTGGATTTAAATAAATTGTGCACAAGTTATATTAAGTATTCAAATATGGGTTTGAACACTTCGAATATTTTAGAGAAATTTTGAGAGGGTTGCCACCGGTTAAATGAATTTTTAAAATATAGGTACCAATCGAAGTGGATTTGGAAAGGTTTCATTTCTTAACTGTATTCAGAAGTGTTCCTACGTATTCGTAAAATCAAATTCAACTGAATTCATCAAATAATTGAAATTTGTATACCAATATCAGACGAATGAGATTTAAAAAGATTTAAGTTTAAAAATGGTTTTGAAAATGGTTGTCACCTGTTTGAAAAGTCGAATTTAGTTATATATAGACAAGATATGTAGTGGTTTAGGAAAGCTTTAGTTAGAAAATACTTTTGATTAGGGTTGCCACCTGTTCAAATTACGTATACGGGGTGTTGTATACCCCCCGTCCTCCCCTTCTAAAATGGGGGAAATATTTTTATTGGAATACTCTTTTTTTTGGTCGTAGTACCGACTTCCGGTTTCGACTGCAAGTGGATTAAACTGAGTCGAAGTTAATTTTTTTAAATTAGATACACATGTTTTTTCTACAGATTCATATTCTGAGGATAAAAATAAACTTTTGTTTGAAGCTTTTTTATCGGAAACGCCTTTTTCAACCTCTAAATGACCTCCGAACTTTTACTCACATGTTTTTATTCAAAAACCAAAAAATACGAACTATCAAGTTGGTGATGCTCTTTTGATGATATTAAAAAAGAGGGGATCAGCGGGTGGTCTATGACTCCCTGTATGCGAAGGCATTTTTTCGAATTTCCAAAATGTGTTTTAAAGTTAAGGAGCTTGGCCCTTAGATGTGAAATAACATTTAAATTTTTTAAGTTAGAGAAGCGTTGCTTCACTTAGAAACGGATTTAGATAAAACCTGGCAAACGGATCGCGTATAAACTGAGCCAAAAGCACAATGGTTTTTTCAACAAAGTCGTTGTTTGTTTTTTTCATGATAACTACACCTTCGGTGTTGATCATTTCATTGTTATAAGATGTAATATATAGCATTTCATTAACAAAATTAACAAATTAAAATAAAACCATTGTTTGAAAATATCACACAAACATTCTGTGATTAATATAAACAAACCATTGGTTAATAAAACTAAAAACTTATTTGATATCACCATTTTTTTGTTGGAGGAAATCAAACAAATTTTTGGTTAATATCACCAAACATCGATTGACTAATATAAACAAACATGTGGTTAATAAAACTAAAAACTTGCTTGATACCAACAAGTTTTTGTTTAAAGAAATCAAAAAATTTTTTTTAGTTGGTAATTTTAACCAACATTTTTGTAACTTCAACAAACATCATTGTTGATTCTAACCAAAAATCACTTTTATTCGTTTTCAAGTTTGAATTTGGTAATTTTAAGCAATTTTTGGTTGATTTTTTTCTCAGTGTGACTAGGACTAACGCTTGGAATATATTTTAAGTTTTTGATGAGGATAACCAACTGTTTAAAATGTTAAATTTAATTTTGGCTAAAGGAGTTTCGGAAGACGGAATTTCACTTCAGTTGCGCGTGGGTCCACCCACATTTTTTTATGTTATAGCTAAGGGTTTAAGCAAGCTTTTCTAATATTTCAACTCATTACCTGGCAGGAAATAGTTTTCAGCACATGACTTGGCAAGTACTAGAAGTAAATAGTAAAAGGCAAATCCTTAATAATATGTTCAATGCTACAGAGAAGCTCTCCTCTGCATGGCACTCCACTGCCGATGCTTTAAAATAGCTGCAATGAGCGCTGCATTTCTTTGTTTTTCTATGCGGATATATTTACATACATACACCCGTAAGTTCATGACATTAAGCTTAGTGGCGTGTGTTACTCGTATTTGGAAAATGCAAACAAAAACAAAGTTGGGCTAAAAGTAAGTAGCAAAACAAAAGTATGAAAATAATGTCAAGGAGTAAAAAGAAATGCATGTGCAGAAAAAAATAATAATTCACTGCGCAGCTGCCATGACAGAGACAAAAGGCTCTCATTTCGTAGAATATTATGTATGTGTGAATATGTTGCACAGGACACAACGAACAGATGATAGCAATTCGTTGCACTATTAATTTTACCGATTGCGATGTGCAGTTGAGTATTGACTTTTTCCCGTGACGGACGCAACTATAGTGAAGCGCATCAATCAACACAGAGAAAAAAGCTAAGCAGCAATTACACAAGAGTCCCACTGGGTAGATAACGGAAAATTTAAAAATATCGTTTTTTTATACAGAAAAATTCAACACTTGACTGAAATAAATGTAATTTAAATAAAAAACTTAAGTAATAAAAGGGATAATAGCAAAAAATTTCGGTATCCTGGCTTTTTTGCCGTTTTTGGCAAACACTTTAAGCGATTCGAAAGAAATTTCATACATATATACGTTTCACCAAAAACGGGTCAAGTAAGAAAATAACTGAAAAATATTTATTAAAAAGTAAGTTTTCGCATTCGTAAAGGAAAAATCCAGCTATCGATTACACCTGCGGAAAACTTTTAAGAAAAGAAAAACCAGTTAGTGCTAATTGCTGGTGGCACTGTGAGGCACTCATAGCAGCAGAAGGGAAAATATTGATTTGTAACATAAATCAAAATCGTTGCCAGCGAAAATTTCCATAGCAAAAACAAAGAACAAAGCATTGGCGGCTAACAAAGTTCGGCGTAAGCAGCGAACCCTTTACGAATTGCAGCGAAAAGGCTGAAACGAAATCGCACTGTGAGCTGTGAAGTAAACTGGAACGCAGGCAGCTAAAACAAATAGTAATACTTTAAGGCGCATAACAACAACTTACTAAGAATTAAGGCTAAAGTCACTGCTGGTGTAATAAGGAACAATTTGTCAGTGAGAAAGACAGTGCTGGCCCAAAAGAGTGGTGATAACGAGCGTGCGAAAGGGTATAACCTGATTTAAAGCGGAAAAGGATATCGTGAGAGAGGAAATACTAAAGAAGTGGGACTGAGGGAGTTCGTATTTGGCAGAAGAACTAGAGAGTTCGACTACAAGGAGTTCAAATAAACCAAGCACATATTTACTACCTTTTCTTAACCAACAGGCAGTGCAACTAAGCAAGAGAAGCAGCCAACACCTTATTGCTGCGTACCGTGTGCCCTCTCGTATGCACATAGAGTACACGTTGTCGTATACGTAACAAATTTTATTAAGCGCTCACCTTGACTCACTTTCATTGAGTATTTAGTCCTACAGCTTTTTCGCCAAAACCAGAAAAATGTCGCCATAAATATATAAAACACGCAACGGTTAACTTGGCCAAGAACAAGTTGAACTTCCGCTTAAAATTCTACAATATTTTGATAATTTGAACTTTATATACGTTAACTAGCCGAAAAGCATAAAAAAACAAGAGACTACAAAAAATCTACTACTTAAATAGTACTAGCAACAATAAAAAGTTTTGTGCCAAAGGCAGCGCCGTAAAAAGTAAATATTTTACTTGTACTCAAACACCTTTTTGTAATCAACTGTTTTAAATACGTTCTTGTGTTGTTTTTTTTTTTTTTATATACATTTAACAAATTTTGCGTCAATTACCGTTAACCGCATTTCAATCGACTGCTTGCTGGTTAGTAGAACGCAGCAGCCGCAGCGACATCACCAAAGTTTTGCCGTTGCCGTTGTTGTCGGGGTGGTCGCCGTCGTCGTCGTAGTCGTCGGTGACATCCGCTGTTCGGTGCCATCGCTCACTTCGTAACTCAAAATAAAAATTCCGCCGACGTTGGTCTTGTCGCAACTATTCGCTTGCATCAAAAAAAGCCGATTTAAACCAATGCATTTAGGTTTCAAACGTGCAAAACGCCAAAACCAAAAACGTTTTTCGATTAGTAAAAAATGTCTTTGCCCCGAGAATGGAATCTTCCGGTGAGTGTGAGACTGTGTACTAATTTAACTAAACTTGTGTTTTTAAATTAATTTAATAAAATTTTAGGATGTCTATATTTTAAATTTCCTTGAAAATTAGGTATGTTTGGGGAAATTTTTTTTCTAAAATATGGCGAGTAAAATAATACTAGTAAAATAGCGCTTGACTCTGTCAATATCTTTTATTATCCCAAAAATCGCTTAACAGCATTCAGAAGTAGCCGAGATTTTGCCGAATTCTAATTTTCTCTACGGGGTATTTTGTTTCGAATTTTTGCTCTCTGGTTCTGGTGGTTTTGGAATCTGGTTCTCTAAATACACAAAGATCCTCAAAGCAAGTTCTCGCTATTTTTTTGTTCAAGTTTAACACCAAGTTGTCTTGGTACATACGCCCCGTTTCATTTGAATAGGCACATTATTTTTATTCAAGAATTAGACATTTATTATTAATTATGGCCATAAATTAAGATTTGTTTTAGAATGCTCGATTTTGAAGAAAAGTCTGTTTTATGCGCCTTTTTAATAACAATACAGAAAATGTACTTTCAAAATTGCGCTACCTGAATTGCCTTAGATAGTGTAGCCTCTGTGAGCGTAAAGCAAAGTTAATAAACCCGTTCTTAAAAGGTTTTCAAGCATTTAAAGAACATTTCCAACTAGCACAGAGCGAGAACGAGACAAGCAGACACACGAAAAAGCTGCAACTAACTTTAAAGTCACCTTTATATGCATACGTTGGCGAAGAAGAGGATATACAGCATGCTATGAGAGTGGCAAGGAGCGGAATTGAATTTAATTATCTAGAATCTCTCTTAACAGGTTATATTACATATGCATACGTACATTGGGCGAAAGATGAAAATGTACAACTTGTCCTAATATAAATAATATTCACAATTATTTTAATCAAAAATTTCTTGCATTAATTATTTATGAAAATATAGTTCATTCTATAATGTAAACTAGGGCTGTGCGATTGTTCGATTACTCGAGCAAGTTGGTTAGTCAATTATTCGGTTAATCAATTACTCGAGTAATCAAGATTTTGATTACTCAAAACGATGATTAATCGAGTTACTTGAAATATGGTTACTCAAAAAAAATAATTTTGCTCGTTAAAAGAGTTTGCTTTGGAAAATGCTTATTTTCTTTTTTACATTCTGTATATGAAAAAAAATTTTTCGCTTTAATTTTTGAAAACAGAAACGTTGTTTTCAAAGTATCAAGGAACTTTAACTACTTTATACATACATATGTAAAGAGTTGAAATGTTGATTACTCATTTTACTCGAAATGTTGATTAATCATAAAGCAACTTACTCAAATATTTTTTTTTTTTTGTTAATCAAAAATCTTGCTTACTCGAGTAACTGAACTTTTGAGTAATCATAATTTTCAATTAATCGAATAATTGAGTTATTTACTTTATGATTAATTAAAATTTTGAGTAATCAATTAATCGCACAGCCCTAATGTAAACCAAATAAATCAAAGCTTCACACTTTATATAAAACTCAACAAAAGTTCAAAAAAATCNTGAGTAATCAATTAATCGCACAGCCCTAATGTAAACCAAATAAATCAAAGCTTCACACTTTATATAAAATTCAACAAAAGTTCAAAAAAATCGTATCAAAATTTTTAAGTTTGTATTAAGAATTTCGAGTATGCAGTTTTGTACCCCTTTCAATTTTAGTCTAATGAAGTGCAAGTTTCAAACGGCTAAAGAATCCCGTTGACTTTTGAGATTCTCTTTAGGAGACGGATTTTTGCACTTTTTGCCATAAAAGCACGAATATCTTATGAAATAAAATGCGGTAGCTCGTTAGCAACAAAATTTCAAAAAATTCAACACTAGCTTTTTTGTAAATTGCACTTTTTTTATAAAAAAAAACCGCAAAAGCAATCTCCAAAAAAACAAAATTTCAAAAAAATCAACGCCAGCTTTTTTGTAAATTGCACTTTTTTAAATTAAAACCCGCAAAAGCAATCTCCCAAAAAAATGCTAAAAAATTCACGCAATTTTTGTAAACTTTATGTGAAGTGTGAAATCTTGATTTATATGGTTTATATTATAGAATTAACTATATTTTCATAAATAACACTAGCCAAAAAAAAATTCGGCAGTGTTAATAAGAGCTGATTCCTATAGATAGATAGATCGTACGCAGAATCAGAATCTCATCTTATAAATACCAGACCGACTCTAGGTTTTGAGATATTTTGACTTAAATCAAAAAACGAATTTTTAGCATAATTTGAGCCGTTATTATATAAAAACAGTACGTGATGGAATATTTATAATAATATGTAAAGAAAGATAAAAAACTTTATGGTAGTACTTATTTTTGTTTAATTTTTTAAAATGCACAGGCAAGCAAAAAGTCGAACATTTCTGCATAGTTCAGCTTTAAAAATTTTAAAATAACTGAGAAATTTGTATGGGTATATTTTTATAAACTTACTTTTGTAACTTATGTTTATAACAGTCAAACTTTTACCTTTTGTGCTAAAAGAGCAACGTTACAACAATACAGAATATTGTAGTAAATACTGAAATTAAAGTGAATAATAAATATGCCGTTGTTGGTACATCCATCACTTGACCTCTAAAATACCGCTACATTTATTTTACTTGGATTATCGTCAGCGGCAATGGCTTTTAAATTGTTTAGTTTTATCAAAAAAACTAACAGCCGATTTCACGAAAGTAATTTAAGTGAAAAATGATTTTGATTTTTTTCAATTTTATATTGAAATTGACAGAAAGTAAAAAATCATTTGCAACTTAAATTACTGGTGAAATCGGTAGTAAATTTTACTACATATTTTTTACGTTTTAAATTTTGCTTAAAAGCTAAAATTTTTATTTTTTGCTCGGAAAATAAAATAAATTTTTGGGTATTTTTTCAAGCAAATGCACACAAATGCTCCAGTCCTGAAAGTATTCAACATGGTACTCGCTAATGATTGAGGTCCTTTTCCACATAGACGAAAAATAATACTTTTGAAGCTTGTGAAGGAAGAATGAAAAGAGATACAAAAACAAAAGAGAACAGAAAAACAAACACTGTATCAAGAACAAAGACAAGGAAACAGCAAAGATACGGACATTCCCTGACCTAGATAAATTTAAAGATAAAGATGGTGATGAAGATGACGATGAAGTTGAAGGTAGATGAATGTAGATGTAGATATGTCTCCGTGTTCGTTTTCATATTCGCGATCTATTGCAGTTTTGTTGCTTTCTTAATGACATGTTGCAGATTCTCAACTGAAAATCTTCTGAAATGTTGCAGAAATTGTACTTGTACTTTCGAGTACTGGTACCCTCGCTATATTGAATCTATCATTCTTGTCTAATTTTTTTTTAAGTCTTAATAATCAATTAAGTATTTTTTTAATGAAACGATTTGACTTGAATTTAGTCAAAATATAAAAAAATATACTAGTTCCCTCAAAAAGTTTATGGATATGAAAAATATAAGCTATAGATACATATATTGTAACTAGACAGGAACTAAGACGCCAGCTCAAAATTGACGGCGACAAAAGACACGTAAACTTATTTTCGCGGTCAATTATGTTTGCGGGTGTAGCAGTATACAAATTCCCCAAAGAGGTTTTGGGAAAGATACTGAAGTGACAATCCTTGGCCCGGTAAGAATCCATGTTTACGCGTCTTTTTTTGCCGTCAACTAGGTTTACGCGTCTTACTTCGCTAAAGTTCTTTTATACGTCTTTTTTCGTAAATTTTTTTTTCGCGCGACCTTTTTCGCCGTGTAGTGTGTATACATTTTTGCGATAATTTTAAAATTTTTTTATCTTTGTTTAGTTTTAAATAAAATTGTCTTCTTATTCTAAAAAAAAATTGTAAGTATGTTCGGATTCGATTCTTTAGAAATGTCTCTTCACCGTAGGTATAAGTGGACATACATATTTATGAATTTATATATATGTATTAGGGATGTTAGTCCCGGGATCCCGGGACCGCGGAATTTTTTAAGTCCCAAAAATACCGGGTTTAGTTGCCAAGAATCGCGAGATTTTCGGGATTTGTAATTTGCAATGGTGGCAATAATAGAATGGCTTATGTTGAACAGTTTTCGCTATATTTCTTTTGTTTAATATTTAATATTTTTATTTAAATATGTCTAGCTAATTATACATACACATAACACCGTGCGACTGGCAATGTATTCGCGAACCCATGTGCCAAATATATGCAGAAAAATTGCGTTTTTAGCTTTTCTTTCTGACGTCAGCATTTTTTAAAAGGACTTTGGAAATTGAATAATATGAGTAATTCAGAAAACGGCTTAAAAATTTAGTGCAGTATACTTAGGAAAACGGTATGGGTATCAAATTAAAGAGAAAATTCTGTAGAAAAAGAGCAGATTATTTTTTTTGGTGCATAATATATTGAAAATGTCTTAAAAAAAATATACATATGTTAAGGACTGATATAAACTCGTCAACGTCCTCGAATATAGTCCTTCTCACTTTATTAGCTTAAAAAAGTAAAATTGATTAAAAAGGTTTTTCAATACCTGTTAGTTCTTGTGAACCCGAAAAATTTTAATTTTTTTAAATCCTACAAAAAATTGTCTCTTTCATTTGGTACCCATTTTTATTCTACGTTGCACTGAATTTTTTAAATAATTTTTAAAAATTTTTGATATCTTTGAAATTATAAAGTTCTAGTAAAAAAAATCTAAAACTAAAAACGCAGTTTAGTATCGCTTGGTGTGTTTTGAAATTTTTTTGTTTCAAACTGTTTCAAGCTTTTTACTCAGAGTTTTAGAAAAATTTTAGGTATGCAAAAATTTAAGTATAGCCCATTAAAGAACAGGATTTTTAATAATTTTTTTGCTGGAGGTAATAAAAATGAATATCTAAATCCCGAGACTGATCCCGGGATCCCGGGATTGTGTGAACGATGTCCCGAAAATCCCTGGATCGCAAAAATCGAAAAAATTAACATTCCTATTATGCATGCA